TGGTGTCTTTGTATTCTGTCTCATACACATGCAAGATTTCAGGTACATCTTGCTACTTCTACTTACACTTAGGTCACACTACACATATATGTACAAGCATATATACACACACCCCTCTGGGTTTTCTCCTATTTTCTTTCTAGTTCTTGTTTATTTCCTCTTATCTCCATGGGGAAGTGGAACAGAATTGTTCCTCTGTAAGCCATGCGTGTTTAAAGAGGCGACTAAAATGCCGGGAGCAAGGGGCTAGTAACCCCTTCCCCTGTATATATTACTAAATTTAAAAGGCGAAACTTTCGTTTTTCCTTTTGGGCCACCCCACCTCAGTGGGATACGGCTGGTACGTTGAAAGAAGAAGAAGAATTACAAAGCAGAAGTGTTATAAGAAAATTTGAGTATATGGAGAGTAAAAGAAACATGAAGAGAGTGGTGAGAGAGTGCAAAAGGAGAGTGGATGATAGAGTGGGAGAGGCACTGTCAAGAAATTTTAATGGAAATAAGAAAAAATTTTGGAGTGAGGTAAACAAGTTAAGAAAGCCTAGGGAACGAATGGATTTGTCAGTTAAAAACAGAGTAGGGGAGTTAGTAGATGAGGAGATGGAGGTATTGGGTAGATGGAGAGAATATTTTGAGGAACTTTTAAATATCGACGAAGAAAGGGAGGCGGTAATTTCATGCACTGGCCAGGGAAGTATACCAACTTTTAGGAGTGAAGAAAAGCAGGATGTGATTGTGGGGGAGGTGCGTGAGGCATTGCGTAGAATGAAAGGGGGTAAAGCAGCTGGAACTGACGGGATCATGACAGAAATGTTAAAAGCAGGGGGGAAGGGACAGTGTTGGAGTGGTTGGTATTTTTGTTTAATAAATGTAAGAAAGAGGAGAAGGTACCTAGGGATTGGCAGAGAGCGTGTATAGTCCCTTTATATAAAGGGAAAGGGGGCAAAAGAGACTGTAAAAATTATAGAGGAATAAGTTTACTGAGTATACCAGGAAAAGTGTACGGTAGGGTTATTATTGAAAGAATTAAGAGGTAAGACAGAATTTAGAATTACGGATGAGCAAGGAGGTTTTAGAGTGGGTAGGGGATGTGTAGATCAAGTGTTTACATTGAAGCATATATGTGAACAGTATTTAGATAGAGGTAGGGAAGTTTTTATTACATTTATGGATTTAGAAAAAGCATATGATAGAGTGGATAGGAGAGCAATGTGACAGATGTTCCAAGTATATGGAATAGGTGGTAAGTTAATAAATGCTGTAAAGAGTTTTTGAGGATAGTGAGGCTCAGGTTAGGGTGTGTAGAAGAGAGGGAGACTACTTCCCAGTAAAAGTAGGTCTTAGACAGGGATGTGTAATATCATTATGGTTGTTTAATATATTTATAGATGGGGGTTGTAAAAGAAGTAAATGCTAGGGTGTTCGGGAGAGGGGTGAGATTAAATTATGGGGAATTAAATTCACAATGGGAAGTGACACAGTTACTTTTTGCTGATGATACTGTGCATATGGGAGATTCTAAAGAAAAATTACAAAGGTTAGTGGACGAATTTGGGAGTGTGTGTACAGGCAGAAAGTTGAAAGCGAACATAGAAAAGAGTAAGGTGATGAGGATATCAAATGATATAGATAAAGAAAAATTGGATATCAAATTGGGGAGGAGGAGTATGGAAGAAGTGAATGTTTTCAGATATTTGGGAGTTGACGTGTCAGCGAATGGATTTACGAAGGATGAGGCTAATCATAGAACTGATGAAGGAAAAAAGGTGAGTGATTCATTGAGGCATATGTGGAGGCAAAAAATGTTATCTATGGAGGCAAAGAAGGGAATGTATGAAAGTATAGTAGTACCAATGCTCTCTTATATGGGTGTGAAGCTTGGGTTGTAAATACTGCAGCGAGGAGGCGGTTGGAGGCAGTGGAGATGTCCTGTCTAAGAGCAAGGTGTGGTGTAAATATTATGCAGAAAATTCGGAGTGTGAAAATTAGGAGAAGGTGTGGAGTTAATAAAAGTATTAGTCAGAGGGCTGAAGAGGGTTTGTGAAGGTGATTTGGTTATTTAGAGAGAATGGATCAAAGTAGAATGACATGGAGAGCATATAAATCTGCAGGAGAAGGAAGGCGGGGTAGGGGTCGTCCTCAAAAAGGTTGGAGGGAGGGGGTAAAGGAGGTGTTGTGGGCGAGGGGTTTGGACTTCCAGCAAGCGTGCGTGAGCGTGTTAAATAGGAGTGAATGGAGACGAATGGTATTTGGGACCTGATGAGCTGTTGGAGTGTGAGCAGGGTAATATTTAGTGAAGGGATTCAGGGAAACTGGCTATTTTATATAACCGGACTTGAGTCCTGGAAATGGGAAGTACAATGCCTGCACTCTAAAGGAGGGGTTTGGGATATTGGCAGTTTGGAGGGAATATTGTGTATTTTTATACGTATATTCTTCTAAACTATTGTATTCTGGACACCTGTGCAAAAACAGTGATTATGTGTGAGTGAGGTGAAAGTGTTCATTGATGATGAAAGTATTTTCTTTTTGGGGATTTTCTTTCTTTTTGGGTCACCCTGCCTCGGTGGGAGACGGCCGACTTGTTGAAAAAAAAAATAATAATATAATAAATAATAGCAATAATAATAATATGTCGTTTTAGACATTTTTCGTAATTTTTTTTTTATATTTTTGTGCCAAATGCTTCAAAATACAAATTGGTAACCCTCTGGGTGGCTGTAGGTACAACTGCTAGACCACATCTCAGTCCCGACCAAGGGTCAAAAGGAGAAAGAAGTTTGCCACTCTGAGTGACTGCAGCAGACCCTTGGGGCTGTAATTTTGTCTTATATTGTACAATTTCTTACACAATGCCTCACCCAAAGAGACAGTATTCATGTACAATCAGAAAGAAGCGATTAGAAACTATGAAAAAAGCTAGAGAAACGAAGAAAGCAGCAGCAGAGAGTGAGGCACCTCGCCACCACTGTGACCACCACCACCACATCTTCACCTATATATACATCTGTCTTGATCACAACTGTGGTTACGTATGTGACACCCTCACCACTAATCATAGATAAACACAAGCTAGGTATGGGGGTTATGGACAGGGAAGATACTAGAATGGGAGAATAAATGCCAGATGCTGCTGGCATTGCCATCACTCACCACATTATGGCCTATTTTATTAATTCTAGAGTATATATCATGTTTCTATGTTATTGATATTGTTTATGTCATATTAGATGAATTGTGATAGATAAATATGACATAGAGTTGATATTAGCATTATTTTGTCATGCTTCCTGAGAAGCTGGAACAGATTAACTGCATTTCAATTAATTTAAATGAGGAAAATTGACTCAGCATACAAACAAATGAGGATATGAACAAGCTGAGGTTCCACTGTATTAAAAAAATCTGGGATCACTTAGTACCTTGTGGGAGCACCAGTTCAACTGAGCACCAGCTAGAGCAAACAGTGTGCCAAACATCAGGGATTCAGTGATGTCATGTCCTATTAACACTCCCCTTTTAAGAGGAAAGTGATGTTGACCCCAAGTTTAGTGGCTTTGAGGTGAATATGGCCACAAGTGGTCGAGGAAATATCAAAAAACCTCGATAATAACCCATGTGCAACATTTTTTCAATTTTGGTACCACTGGTAGTGTCATCCTACCAGAATATCCTATAACCTATGCCCTAAGTAATGAGAAACAATTTTGGAATTTGTAATACGTGTTTAGCAGGCTGACTGGCTGGCTGGGTGGCTAGGTGGCTGACTGACTTTCGATGTCTCTATTTCCGTCTGTCTGTCTATCTATCTCTGTCTCACAGGTACACATAAATACAATTATACATAGTGTAAATTACCTAGGATAACCCAGAAAACCCAGACGAAGTGCTATACTGTGCTTGTAGATATAATGCATAATAAGCATGACTGGCAAGTAATGCACATTTTCACTTGTTCAGGAAACAGACATGACAACTCTGCATCACGTGTAATACCTGTTGGTTCACGAGTGGCTCTCTCTGAGACAGAAAGAGAGACAAGCAGACACAGAAAGACAGATAAACAGAGACAGAGATAAACAGAGAGAGCTAGACAGACAGACATGTTTGTGTGTAACAGTGAAAACAAATAAAGCCAAGGCAGTGCTCACTCCACTTCTGCACTGTCAGCAGTGGAGTGACATATGTCTTACACAATGCTTCAATGATTTTCATATATACTCCAGTGAGTCTAAAACATTCCTGGGACCTATAAATACTATGTATATATTACTAGACAATAGTATGTGACCAAGGCAAGTGAAAATGTTCACCTGTCAGTGTGTTTGTGACTGAGTACTATTTCAGTGCCTAATATTAGTGTCAGAGCAAAGATTGGCTATGAAATCACAAGAACTACTACAAATTATAATTATCAGAACATAAAAATTATACAAATTAAAAAAGAAATAAGAAAAAAAGGCATATCAGTAACACTTCTGCAAGCGGCAGGACTCTGAGTTGCCATCGTTTGGAGCATCCAGCGCCAATTTCACTGTCTTATATCTCGTTAATTACTGACCCCAATCTTTTTTATCCTATTACACGTAGAAAAATGCCCTCTTTATTTTAATAAAAAAAAAAGTTTTTTTTTTTTTTTTTCAAAGTATTCAGAACGCTGGGCAAGAGAACATAGATCTATGTTTGGACAGTTGCAAGAGACATAGATCTACGTTTGGACAGTTAAGGGGTTAAAGTGCAGGCATTGTACTTACCACCTCCAGGACTCAAGTCTGGCTAACTGGTTTCCCTGAATCCCTTCACAAAATATTACACAACTCACACCCCAACAGCTCATCAGGTCCCATAAACCATTCGTCTCCATTCACTCCTGTCTAACACACTCACACATGCCTGCTGCCTATCCAGGCACATTGCACACAAAACCTCTTTTACCACCTCCTCCAGCCTTTCCTAGGACAACCCTTACCCCTCCTACTCTCCACTTTCATATATAACCAAAATTATTTATACCTGACAAGTTTTGGGGCATCATCACACCCTCTTGAGTATTTCATAATTGAAGACTCAAGGGCTCGCTGTCTAATTTGTTCAATGTTTTCTTCATGACGACGAGCAGATTCTTCTTGCTTCTGTTGAATTTTTTTTACCAATTCTGACTCTTTGGCTAGCTGAGCCTAAAAACATATAAAATAAAAAAAAATATTATTCATTTCAATAAATACACTTTTTTTTATATAAAGCAATTACAAAGATTAAAAAGATTCTGTACAGACTGGCTAATTAGAGTCAAAACAGGGAGTTTTCTAGAAATTTGCAATGAGGAATATTTATTAAAAAACATGTACACATGAAGCTATACACTTCCTAATTACCCACACTTTGGAGAGGAAACTTTAAATGGGAGGGGGCAGAGGAGGGAGCAAAGGAAGTTTTGAGTGCTTGGGGCCTGAACATCAAACAGTCTTGTGGGAGCGAATTAGACTGAAATGAATGGGAAATAAAGTGGTTCTCCTAGACCACTATCAAGTCACAAATGAGAAAACAAGGGAAAAAGTAGAAAACTATTTAAAAAATGGCAGTTACAGTAGCAGTAGTGGTAGTGATGGTGGCGGTACTAAATTGATTGGGATAAACTACAGCAGACTGTCAACTAAGACGTGATCTTCTAAGAGCTTATGGTATACACTGGTTGAAGAATTGCGATAATTTTTGATCATGACACTGCAATTTTTTATGACTGTAAATACAGGGGAAAAATAGCTAAAAGCTGTTACAAAAAAAGCTAGTAACCGAAAATTTGACCGTAATGTTCACTGTAACATAACAAATAGTCATTCACTTACTCTAAGAGTATTAATACAAATGTTGAGTATCTTAGTGATTGTTAATAAAGAGTGAAAAGTATAATAATTTAAAGAAAAAGTAAAGGCATCACCATGATAAATGCTTGTGTTTGAAGTTCAGAGTCACCACAGTATACACTGTTTACATATAAATTGTTTATCACCACAAGTCTCAAGAAAACTCATGTGACTAAATTAGTTGCTTCCTGTATATGAGTCAATACATACAGTGTTGTCATATTCTTTGTATCATCAAATGTGAGGATACTGCAGACAATGTTTATATACATACTGAGACTCCAAGATTTATATATACTTTGCTTCCTTCTGTTTGCATAATCAGGATTATGAGAGGTAATTAAATATACTGTGGATACAGTACCTTGTGTATATTGTATACACTGTGCATCAATATAAGATATTATAAGCGACTAGTGGCAGAAAGGTGGGCTAGTGCAAGAATGAGTAGTGGGGGGTTGAAGAGGGTTGGAATAGTTTTAAAAATGCAGTATTAGAATGTGGGGCAGAAGTTTGTGGTTATAGGAGGGTGGGGGCAGGAGGAAAGAGGAGTGATTGGTGGAATGATGAAGTAAAGGGTGTGATAAAAGAGAAAAAGGTAGCTTATGAGAGGTTTTTACAAAGCAGAAGTGTTATAAGAAGAGCAGAGTATATGGAGAGTAAAAGAAAGGTAAAGAGAGTGGTGAGAGAGTGAAAAAGGAGAGCAGATGATAGAGTGGGAGAGGCACTGTCAAGAAATTTTAATGAAAATAAGAAAGAAAAAAATTTGGAGTGAGTTAAACAAGTTAAGAAAGCCTAGGGAAAGTATGGATTTGTCAGTTAAAAACAGAGTAGGGGAGTTAGTAGATGGGGAGATGGAGGTATTAGGGAGATGGCGAGAATATTTTGAGGAACTTTTAAATGTTAAGGAAGAAACAGAGGCAGTAATTTCAATCATTGGCCAGGGAGGTATACCATCTTTTAGGAGTGAAGAAGAGCAGAATGTAAGTGTGGGGGAGGTACATGAGGCATTACGTAGAATGAAAGGGGGTAAAGCAGCTGGAACTGATGGGATCATGACAGAAATGTTAAAAGCAGGGGGGGATATAGTGTTGGAGTGGTTGGTACTTTTGTTTAATAAATGTATAAAAGAGGGGAAGGTACCTAGGGATTGGCAGAGAGCATGTATAGTCCCCTTATATAAAGGGAAAGGGACAAAAGAGACTGTAAAAATTATAGAGGAATAAGTTTACTGAGTATACCAGGAAAAGTGTACGGTTAGGGTTATAATTGAAAGAATTAGAGGTAAGACAGAATGTAGGATTGCGGATGAGCAAGGAGGTTTCAGAGTGGGTAGGGGACGTGTAGATCAAGTGTTTACATTGAAGCATATATGTGAACAGTTATTTAGATAAAGGTAGGGAAGTTTTTATTGCATTTAGGATTTAGAAAAGGCATATTGATAGAGTGAATAGAGGGGCAATGTGGCAGATGTTGCAAGTATATGGAATAGGTGGTAAGTTATTAAATGCTGTAAAGAGTTTTTATGAGGATAGTGAGGCTCAGGTTAGGGTGTGTAGAGAGAGGGAGACTACTTCCCGGTAAAAGTAGGTCCTTAGACAGGGATGTGTAATGTCACCATGGTTGTTTAATATATTTATAGATGGGGTTGTAAAGGAAGTAAATGCTAGGGTGTTTGGGAGAGGGGTGGGATTAAATTTTGGGGAATCAAATTCAAAATGGGGAATTGACACAGTTACGTTTTGCTGATGATACTGTGCTTATGGGAGATTCTAAAGAAAAAATGCAAAGGTTAGTGGATGAGTTTAGGAATGTGTTGTAAAGGTAGAAAGTTGAAAGTGAACATAGAAAAGAGTAAGGTGATGAGGGTGTCAAATGATTTAGATAAAGAAAATTGGATATCAAATTGGGGAGGAGGAGTATGAAAGAAGTGAATGTTTTCAGATACTTGGGAGTTGACGTGTCGGCGGATGGATTTATGAAGGATGAGGTAATCATAGAATTGATGAGGGAAAAAAGGTTGAGTGGTGCGTTGAGGTATATGTGGAGTCAAAAAACTTTATCTATGGAGGCAAAGAAGGGAATGTATGAAAGTATAGTAGTACCAACACTCTTATATGGGTGTGAAGCTTGGGTGGTAAATGCAGCAGCGAGGAGACGGTTGGAGGCAGTGGAGATGTCCTGTTTAAGGGCAATGTGTGGTGTAAATATTATGCAGAAAATCGGAGTGTGGAAATTATGAAAAGGTGTGCAGTTAATAAAAGTATTAGTCAGAGGGAGGAGAAGAGGGTTGTTGAGGTGGTTTGGTCATTTAGAGAGTATGGATCAAAGTAGAATGACATTGGAAAGCATATAATCTATAGGGGAAGTAGGCGGGGTAGGGTCATCCTCGAAAGGGTTGGAGAGAGGGGTGGTTAAGGAGGTTTTGTGGGCACGGGGCTTGGACTTCCAGCAAGCGTGAGTGAGCGTGTTAGATAGGAGTGATGGGAGACGAATGGTACTTGGGACCTGACGATCTGTTGGAGTGTGAGCAGGGTAATATTTAGTGAAGGATTCAGGAAAACGGTTTTTTCATATTAGTCGGACTTGAGTCTGGAAATGGGAAAGTACAATGCCTGCACTTTAAAGGAGGGGTTTGGGATATTGGCAGTTTGGAGGGATATGTTGTGTATCTTTATATGTGTATGCTTCTAAACTGTTGTATTCTGAGCACCTCTGCAAAAACAGTGATAATGTGCCAAAAGTGGTGAAAGTGTTGAATGATGATGAAAGTATTTTCTTTTTGGGGATTTTCTTTCTTTTTTTTTTTGGGTCACCCTGCCTCGGTGGGAGACGGCCAACTTGTTGAAAAAAACAAAAAAAATCAGGGAAACCGGTTATTTTCATATAGTCGGACTTGAGTCCTGGAAATGGAAAGTACAATGCCTGCACTTTAAAGGAAGGGTTTGGGATATTGGCAGTTTGGAGGGATATGTTGTGTATCTTTATATGTGTATGCTTCTAAACTGTTGTATTCTGAGTACCTTTGCAAAAACAGTGATAATGTGTGAGTGTGGTGAAAGTGTTGAATGATGATGAAAGTATTTTCTTTTTGGGGATTTTCTTTCTTTTTTTTTTTGGGTCACCCTGCCTCAGTGGGAGATGGCCGACTTGTTGAATAAAAAAAAAAAAAAAAAAACTTTTATTTTGTGATAAATAAATGACTTGCACATATACCCTCTGCTTCTCTTCATTTGCATAATTAAGGTGAAGTCTCTGTCTGTGCCGTAGAACTACGTGATGAGCTCAGATCACTCAGATAAGCAGTGAGTGGTAAATTTGGGAATGGATATGAAAGAATGGGTTGATGCAGTCAGTGTGCACCATATAAAAACAAACCCTGCCTCACGCAGTACATAATGGGAGAAAACTGTGACCATGTTTTTGGTTCAAAATAGAAAATTTGCGGTGAATTTTTGGATGGTTCTTATGATTGTATTCTCAGTTTCTTGTTATCATGTGATAGAATGGAAGATGTATTACAGAAATAGAGATGATTCTGATTGGTTACATGACTTGAAGTAGCTCAAAGTTGAGCTCAAAGTAGCAGAAACATTTGACTTTTGCCAATACTGTATTCCACTGTAAACAAATCAAATCATTCATCCAATAAACATCCAACTGGTTGGTCTAATATGCATTTGCAAATGCACTGACATTATTTATACAATTATTACAATAATGCATCACAGAAAATCTTCTGTTTTTTTTTGTGTGAAAAAAATTCAGAATAGAATTAATGTGTAAATCCTGGGAACATAGCTAAAGAACAGAGTAAATGTTCTTTTAGTGGTAGGAATGCCTGCATTGTTTATTCTGGACCCTAATTTGAAATTGGCATATTTTGAAATTTGTGTGGAAGTGGCCAAATTAACCGATTTCTGATCACTAAACTGGGTAGTTGAAATAGTTCACTGGGCAGTGTCTTGTGTTCAGTCAATAAAATGAAAACCATTCTAGCAAAATAGCTAAAAATTTGGCTGACTGGAACAATTTAATTGGCCTACAACAAAACTCAAAGTGGGCCGAATCACCAATTCCTAAATATTGCTGACAAAGCAAAATTTTCGAAATGCATAATTTTGTAAGTTTCCATTAAATTTTGTACCTGTTGTTTTATTATCTTCAGAAAAAAATTCTCTGCCATTTCATAAGAAAAATATAAAAAAAAAAAATTTCTGAAAATTCTTGGACCCTGTGGACACTTTTCAGATCGAGGTCCTGGTCACCCAAGGGGCTAAGGTAAGTAATGTGTGCATTGTATGATAATTTTT